GATATTACTGTCATATATTAATTAATTTAAATTCCAAATTAAATAAAGAATAAATATTCTTATTCAGTTAGGAATTGGCTAAATTTATTTAGGTGGATATATAATTATTACAGTATGAGGGTAACATAATATATATATATATATATATATGACATATATAATTATTATGGTATGAGGTACATGAGTACGCACATAGTATTTAAATTAAATTCAATTCAGTGGAAGTAATCAATGGAGAGGTGAGGACACAAATTTTCAGTACAGAGAAAAAAGGGTTTCCCACCAATATTATATATATATATATATATATATGCAAATCTTTTTTTCTTTATCACCTTCCGATGATTATATCCGATGCCATATGTGCAGTTGCATGAAGATTTCCGTGACATATCATATATGTGTGTAAAAGCATATATCTACGTGTATAGGTGGTCCTGCATGTGTATTATATATACATATACATATATTTCCCTCACTTCGCCATCGTCAAGTGCTGTCTATTCAATACTTTGTGCACCATTCACATTCTTTTTATCCAAATACTATGTGAGAGGATAACTTATATACACACACACACATATATATATATATATATATAATATTGATTAGGTGATTAGAAGCACACCACGTGATTTGTTCAACAATGTGTTGTAAGTTATGACCCACGGATGTAGTTTTTAGTCGTTGGGACGTGGTGACTATCATATCATCAAATTATTATTAATTAACTTGGCTTTAATTAATTATTTTTACCTACATATATATATATATATATATATAATGCATATATAGATTCAATTATCTATGTTTCAAACATTGAATGGAATCATTCTACATATATATATATATATATATAATTGGGTTTTTATTCAGTCAAGTCAAGATATTTGTAGCTGGAACAATTTGTACAGAATTGCATGAGCTGGGGAGTGTCAGCAAATTAAACTCCAAAATAATAATAAGAAAAAAGATGATACCAAAGTTATAATAATATTATATATATATATAATAATAATTATTATTAGTTAAATATATAAGAATATTCAGACTGTCCTCTCTTTTCCTCTGCTCTTCATTATCTACTTTTTGGGAATTATTTTCTTTTTACTGTCTCTTTTTCACCCATACATACAATTATTATTTTCATTATAATTAAAATACACATCTAATATCCTCAAATATGGTGAAAAATGATTTTTGTCGTGATGGAAAAATATACAAATATACGCGTATGTATATGCCAAGAGTTGTTTTGAATGTTTGCAATTAAATGTGGGTCTTAATCAAAAATTTTGACACTTTTTATCAAAATGATAATGCCATGTTTTTTTGACAAAGAGTTTCAAGATCCAAAACAATGTCCTTAAATGGTGACTATATAGATATATACATATATATATATAATTGGAAATTAATTAATCTTGACGGCATTTGGGATTTGAACTAATTAAAGGGTTGTCCTTTAAAAAAAATAATTAACTAATAAAAAGCATATGCATATATGCCTTATACCTTATTAGATAAGTGAAAGGTGACACCTAATTAAATCCAACGGGCACCAGGCTCTGAAACAAGAAGCCCTGGAATATTTTTGGAAGGTGCCTTGCTTGCATGACAATATTATATACATATACTGTATGATATAAGTTTATATAATTGAATTATGTGAATCTGATCTGATCATCACTAAAAATATAAATGATTATATAGTAGAAAAGGGGGTGATGGTGAAGGTGGCACATGCATAAAGTGGATGATCACATGAGGGATGCCTTAGACGGGGACCAATCGAAGCCAATCTGTACATACTTGTTAATTCTCTTTACCATCACCATTACCACATCATGTCAACCCCCACCAAAACACCATGTGATTAATCACATTTTCTTAATTATTTTACTATATAATTAATGGAGCTTCTTAAGTCAACAAGAAAATATATATACATATATACAAATACCCAGAAGAATATATATATTATGGTAATAAAGAAAGATCAGATTTAGGAGGTATGGTGGGGTGGGGTTCCTATTCACATTCTAAACAAGTTTCAATTTTAAGGACCCAAGAGATTATGTGACCCTTAAACAAGGGGATAGTTTTCTTGTTAATCAGAGCCTAATTAATTAATTATTGTTCAATAATATTGTAGGGAAAAAGTCAACTAGGTTCATATATATCTTATCCATTTTCACACATAAAGAAGATATATTATATAGTTTATAAAGTTTTTTAGATCTAAGTTTGGGGTTGAAGAAATATTCCAACATGACAATTACCTTTTATATTTATTAAAGCAGGCAATTAATTATATATGGGTGGTAAATTAATTGATAATAATTTGCCTATATATTTTTTCTTATTTCAATAATATATATATATATATATACACACACACACACTAATATCTTAACACCAAAGTAATCAACAACCAAATCATAAAATCAAACTGCCAGTAATTAACCCATTAACTATACTAGCTATAATGCACGTACGTTTAAACAATTGATCATCACACACACATATATAATATAATATAATATAATATAATATAATATGTGAGTACTTACCATATCAAATTAAAGAAACCTTCACCAATAATACTTACCATATCAAATCATAAAATCAAGCTGCCAGTAATTGATTCATGAGCTAGAATCTAAATTGATTTAGATAAATATATATATATATGTATGTATGTACTTACTATATCAAATTAAAGAAGCATATTATTCTTTGGTTTTGGAAGTACTTAGTGAAGCCTTTTATTATGATGAATTAGGTCAGCATGTGAGTAATTAATTAAGTGATTATAATTGAAAGGCATGCATCAAAAGAAGACAAATTGATAGTACGTATAGGAATCTTCTACGAAGAAACCTAGATAGGTTTTAGAGGTCTTCTTTTTTCCTATGTATAGCTTACGTCATTTCATATATATATATATATATATATCCTTATCGTGGGCCCGAGCCCAACATAATTTACAAGTCCTTCCTTGTAATTATCAAATTATTTCCATTAGGATGATGTTATTGGTCTTGTAAGCATCACTTATAATCCCCACATTTCTAAAACATCTACATCCTTATAATATCATCTTCTTACACAAGTTTCTTGAGATTTCTCATCTCTTTAGGTTAAAATTTTGATTTTGATTTTGATTTTGATGTTGTGTTTGATTTATCTTTTTACTCAGATTCTTAATTTGCATTCTGTTTTTAAGTTGTTTATTATTATTTTTTTTTTAGTTTTTTAACTTTGGATTTGTTTCAAATACAATATATTTTCGTGTATTTTTAATATTTGATAAATAGAAATTGATTATAATTTATATATATTAACACATCGTAATAAGCATATTCTCACATCCTAATAAAGAACTTTAAAAATATTTAACTCGAATTAAACATGTAATATATTTAAAATTACAGTGTTATTTTTTAAAATTTTTATTTTATTTTTTTTATATATTCTTATTAAATGAAATTATAATTTGAACCAATCTCAATAGAACATTAAGAATTGAACCCACATATTGACAAGTATGAGATAACCTCCAACCTCTTTATCACCAAGGAAATAAAAGTGGAATAATCATCACCCAAATGAAGAAAACTGTGTTTTAATTATATATGTTCACAAACTAATATGAAAACTTGAATTGAAAAGTAACTAGTAAATAAATCAACCTCAACCTAATAAAGATGGAATAAAACTATTTTCTTCAAGATACATTTATTAATTGAATTGCAAATTAAAAAAAAAAATCAAATTCAAAGAAGAATAAGATTCAATGTATAGAGTTGTTTGTATGATTTTGGTGCATGTGTGAGGAGGAAGGTGAAGATGGAATGGGCAATTTCCAAAAGTCAATAACAAGTGAGTGGGGGAAAATGATGGTGAAGAAGATAAAATGATGAATTATGAGGTTAGAGGCGCGTTTGGCAGAGTTGTCAGAGACCTTAAGCTGCCTGCAACTTTATTGGGATCATAAAAGTATATATCAAACATAACTCTAAAAGGATTCATAATATTTCTATCAGTTACCGAATTGATACTTTCTTATTTCTTGAATGTTTCTTTCTGATATATCATGATTTTATACAATTTTGATTTATAGTGCAGAAATTCTTGCATCAATCAGTCATATAATAAGAGATATCTCTTGTTTACATAATATCCATAACCAGATCAATTGTATGTACAGAAATACATTTATGTAGATAAAGTAATTAGAAATATATTTTAAAAGGGTTAAATTATTATTTTTAAAAAAGAATCATAATATGAGGTGTAAGTATACAGGAGGTTATGAACATAGATGTAAGCAACTTTCATGTATAACACATGACAACTTCAATAGATAAACAAACTGGCACCCACTAATTTCAACTCTTTACTTAATGATATAAAGAAAAATCTTACTAGCTGGCAAGTCATAATAAAACAAAAAAAACAAGAATCACAAGTCATCACTCAAGAAAAATGACTTGCAAGTACTACCGTTTTAGAATTATACATATATATAGACACAAACAATACACATTTATATATGTAGTTAGGTCGAGTTTCTAAACAATATTCAAAATATCCCACTCTAATCAGTAAGTTGCACATCATCTTTTTCACCAATGTGCCATTTATAGTAGGATCATGAAATACAATTATAGTATTCTAGTTTTTTTCTTTTCAAATGGGTGAGAAATAATACTCAATATTCAAATAATCTACTTTACAATAGTAGTGCTGGCATAGTATTCTAGCATTCAAGCTTTAGTTTCTTATTGATGCTCCTATATATTACCAGCAATAGGCAAAACCCACAAGCTGCATTATTGCCCAAACACAAAGATAAAATTCATGTATGTTAAGAATTGGAAGTTTGATCCCCAAGGATTTTAAAGTATAGCAGAATTGATTTAACTATAAACCAAACATGAAAAATCTTACATATAACAAAATTTTGATAATTATAATTGGAAAAATAGGAAGGAAACTAGGGTATTGTTCACTAATATATTAATTTCTTTTCTCATGAAAAAAAAAAAAAAAGAAGTTGAAATTATTGACATATGAGGGTTGCCTTATGGCCCTAATTAAATTGGCCCAATGTGCTAAGTCAAAGCGATGCCCCAGAGAAAAAATCACGACGGGTTAGGTTTTAGCAGGACTTCAAGTTCATGTCCCTCATCATAAGCCTACTACTAGACAAGTTTTTGTAAATACACCATCCTACAAATTTTCAAACTGCATACCAACTTCTGCAGCTTTTAGGTTAAATAGCTTGCTGCCTTCATGACACTAAAAGCTTCTATATACAAGAAATTGTAGGAAGAATATTAATATCAAGCTACCATCAACTGTAATACATCACCTCCACAATATACTACTAGTCTTTTCTATCACTTCCGTCTCAAATGTCATTTCTTATGAGCTAGTTCATTTGTGTTCCTTATTTTATCATTCCTCTCAAAACATAATATATGATTAATTTCAGAGAACAAGGACCAAAATGAGGTCAAGAAAATGTTCCCTATGCTATCAGAAAATGTTTTGGATTTTAGTACCAAGAATAGGAATTCAAGTATTCGGAACAGGAATTAAAGAGCTTCTATGCTACTCAGCAATATTTAAAAGTCCCCTGACATGCACCATAAAACAGCTCCAACTAATAAATATGAGAAAGATAAGGAAAGACATGAGCCAAGCTCCATTATCACTATAATTATATTCTGAAACAATCCAACTACCATCTTATGAATGTTATCTTTAACAGCTACATAGCGACTGCCTAAAGAGTCTAACCAATATGGGAAGCTACGAGAATAATTGGGGCTCTGAAAGGAAGTTTTGACAATAATAATGTTTGCAAAAAGAAAAACAAATAAAGCCAATGATAGGACTGCTCTTTATTTTCTCAAACTAATTTATTGCTTGCTGTAAGACCATTATGGCAGAGGTAATAACTAATGTGCTCTAGTTACCAATAAAACGCACCATACGTCTTGTTAAAATCAGGGAGGAGCTGCACAAAAATTCCCATCCTCACTTCCCAAGTCACTCTTCTTTGCTTCTCTTGTATTAAAATCAGCTTAACCAACAATCTCCACTACCAAATCCCAAGCCAAGAGATCCCTTTTTAAAATTCAAGTCGAAGAGACCCTCATACACAAAATGAACTCGTCGTGGAGTTATCCAGTGTACTGATTACCTGGAGGTAGAAGCTCCGAGATTCACTTGCTTCTGTGATAGCAACTTGACCAAATGGGTGCTTTCGTACAAACTCCTGCACACTATCAGCTGCCGCCAACTCCTCCAAATAAACTCTAAGATCACCACCATCACCTAACATAGATTGCAGCCAATATTTAGCATTTGCATATTATTAAATCAACATACATTGCCAACCACTAGAGTATGAAAAAAACCATTGACTTAGAGGTTGTCTGTAATTAAAACAAGCAGATATTAATGCGCCAAAAGAAAGGGTAACACATAATTCAGTACAAGAATTGAAAAAAAGAAAATATTAGAAGTAAAAATACACCTACACTAGTAAAAAGCTCAACCTGAAAGGTCCAATTATTTTAAATTACCCTACACCGTATTTGGATTGAAGGAAGTTCATGAAAAAGAAAGGAATAACGAAAGTACACCATCCTCTACTTGTTTGCATAAAAAATAATAATTAGGAGATACAATAGAAGGATAGGAGCATCTCCCATTTCCCTTAAAACTCTAATTTTTTTCATTCCTCAAAAAATGGGGTAAGGGAAAGAGGAGAAAATGATTTTCCATTCTATTAATAAAAGACACTACTTTGACTATTTTCTTATAATTAATCATTTCATCCTTTTGTGATGCTAAACCAAATAAAATATTAAAACAACCTTTTTCTTTACTTTCCCTTTTCAATTTTTACTTTTTCTCAACAAAGGAAACACTTTCCATTTTTTTAAGAAACCCTTCATTTCCTCTCCTCTCCATTTCTTTACTAAATTTTACCCAAACATAGTACTAATGTGACGAGCCCTACAGGCTTTGAGCATGTTGTTTGTAAATCTCCAGGGAAGGGAAGTAGAGAACTGGCAGTAACAGACGCATGGTGTGCGTCTAAAAGGTTTCACTAAGCCTCAAGCCTAATACTTTGCACTTCTACACACTTACAGTAACAGTTCCAGATTTTGTTAAACAGAATAAGAGCAGCTCATCTCAGAAACTCAGAAGACATCTTACCTAATGAATTGTCGCTTTTATCCAGATACTTGTATGTATAGGGAAAGATTGCAGTATCCATCTTAAGAAAAAGGTTCAACATGTCAGGAGACTGGTCCAAAGATCATAAACGTAATAATAAAAAGGACCAAAAACAAAGGCCAACACGCCTACAGGATTAAGCAAGGCTTTATAAGGAGAATCATCTAACAACAATGTATTTGATTCGTTATAAACTCCCTTCTCCAACGGAAGATCACGGTCTTCATTTTCCCAAATTCTCCGCAGTTCCTTGAAAACCACAGGCTTATGCTTGTTTTCAAGTGTTTTAAACTGTGTTACAGTGCAGTGGGATTGATCCTGTGAAATCATCAAGCATGGTTGTTAACGGAATAATGTATGTTAAAGCTTCGGTATCTACCATTGAATGCTATACAAGTATGTTAAAGAAAATTCAATCTATTACTATTCAGCATTGAACTTAAGGACATTTTGCCAACTGTCATTAAGAAGTCAGATGATGTCTTAAATACGATTTCTTATATTATAAGAGAGACATGTTTGCATGTCACAAACAACACGTCGCAAATGATTCAAGCTTCCCAATTACCAGAATCCATAAGAAGAGATATAGTAGAAAAAAGGCATGTGTTAAGAGCAATGGTGACGATACATCTTCAAAAAAGTCATTAACCCAAATTCTCAAGGATATTTAAGACATTAGCCTAAAAGGAGAGAGTAAGAAAAAATACAGAGAAATAAACAAGTAAAAAGGGAAAAAAGGAGATTTGGGTCTCAATAATAAGTCTGACTTCCTTGTTCATTCTTGTTATGGAAGTGTTTAACCAGATTTTGCTTAAAGAGATGTAGGCAAATTTGTTCAATGGTTTGCGTGTAGGGTAAGGAGTTGAAGTGCTAAGAAAATATGATATATACTGACAAAACACTTCTATTTTCTAAATCGGACAGGAATGTGTTATTAATACCATACGCATGCTGCTATATTTCCGGGTCATTTTTCAAACTTAAAGGTCAATTCAGAAAATCAGATATTATGCCAGTCAGTCGGGGAATATGTTGTGATGATTTTGCTCAAATTTTTGTGTTGCAAGGCTAGCAATTTGCACCCCTTAGTTGCCTCTTGGTCCTAACATCAAGGAGGCTAATATATGGAATCCCGTCGCATCCAAGATTGAAAGGAGGTTAGCCAGGTGGAAGCAGACCTATTTATCAGATGGGATAGATTGGTCCTTCTAAAAAGTGCTTTCTTCCGATCTCCCATTTTATTTTTCTGTCCCTTTTCCCTATCTCCGTGGAAGCTGGCAAGAGGCTTTGAAACTATCCAGTGTTGTCTCTTGTGAGAAAGACCAACCCATGAGAAGCACTCCATGGAGGTGTGGCATTATGTGAAGAAGTCGCTGCAGAAAGGAGAGCTTGTTATCCAATCCTTACTGGCCTTTATCAAGCCTTATTGGCTAAACCGAATTGATGTTTGTAATCACAGAGAATCTTTGTGGTGAAAAATAATCAAGGTTAAATTCAATGGTCGGAGCTCCAGGAAAGTTTGGCTCTACCCCTTGGAGTTAAATTAGGAGTTTGAATGAATGTTGAGGCCTCATTCGGCTTAAGGTGGTAAAAAGACAGTCAAATCAATTTCTGCCTGATCTGTGGTAAGCAGATAGGCCTTGGAAAGAGATATTCCTGTTTATTTTTCTATTGTGCAGCAATGGAATCTAATAAAGCATCCCTCTCCATTGGAATCTCAATACCTAGGAATTCATTGACTAGATTTATTTTCTTGCTGCTTTGGACAAGTTCTCTATTAAACCAGAATCTTAGAATGCATTGCGATGGAAGCTCTCCAAAATCGAATTTTCCCTGACAAGTCCTGTTACTCTCACCTTCTGATGAGATCCTAGACTGTCACCTGCTTCAATAATTTCCTTTTTCTAGAGAGGCTGCTTCGGTGAGGGTCCTTACCATGGATAACGTGATAAGAAGAGATAGACATGGCCAATAACTGCTTTTTGTGCACAAGAGAGAGTGACTCCTCCAATCATCTTCTTCTTTGGTGTCCAAAAACAAGACGGCTGTGAGATTCAGCTCTCAAACTCCTCAATGTTACTTCATCAGTTAGTGGCCAAATAGAAGAGGAATTAAGAGCCTGGAGTGGCATACTGGAAGAAAAAGTTAGAAGGACTCTTCTAGCTCTCATCAGCTGCGAAATTTTATAAACTTGTCCCCCTTATTCGCTTCTATTCAGGACTCTTGGTTTAGGAATTGAGACCCTAGGGTCATCCCCTCTATGATGGGTGGTCATCCTCTCTATGATGGGTGGGATTTTGTTAACCTTTTAGTTCTTTTCTTTTTTGAGAGATTTGTAAATTTGTTTACGGGTTGAATCTCTTGTGGCCATTTAATATATATCTTTTTTTGGTAAATAATATATCTCTTCCCTTCTCTAAAAAGTAACAATTTCGGATTCTAAATAGTGTTGAGTCATGGCCATGAGAAGCACGTCTAAAACTATTTAGAGGTAACCTTTATATAGGCACCAGTCAAACAACCAAATAAGAACAGAAACTAGGTGTAACGTAGTAGGAAATTTTTTTTAATAAAAAAAAAACTTTATTATAGAGAGAAAATGAAATAATACAAACGAAAATAAGGCATTCTCCTCTAAAAGAAGTGAAAAAAAAGATTATAAAACGCATATGTGCTACAATAAGGAAACCTAGTTTCAATGAAGCTTAGAAATGCTTGTTGTGGGAAATAGCCATGTGCTTTAGCCCATAAAGTAGCCAGAGAAGTCACCCTTTCCCACAATTCATGTAGCTCATTATTAAAAGTCTGACTGTTTCTAGGAAGCCAAACAACCCTACAAAAAGTGCCTGTCTCCATCGGGATTTTGCGACTTTGTTGACCCTCTCCTATAAATGACTACAAATGAAAATCTCCAATACAAGAAGTGTCATCCAGTTAAGACAAAATAACTTGATCAGTCTAATACTCTGTTTGGATCGTAGTAAATGATATAATTTTAATGTATGGTACTCATGGGTGTAAAAAAATTATGTTTGTTTCAACTTCCAATTGTAACAAACGGTATCTGACCGGCAAATTTGATATGAATTTTAAAACCACTGAATCGGTGGTATGTGACGGGCATGTTACTTTTTTTTCTTTTATACTCTCATATAATATATTTAATTCTATTTTTATCATCACAATTTATTATTTATTTTATTAAATATAAAAATTTAATTTGTAATAATTGTTTATTTAAATACAAATATAATTATATTGGTAAAAAATTTAATTTTTTTTTTATTATATACTTATTATATACCACTTACTTTACATATAATAGGTATGGGTAAATTAATAATTTGACTGAAAATACAACTATACTATCATATCATCCAAATAAAAATATGTCATTAACATATATTAATATACAATCATCCAAACATAAAATAATTTTACCATTCCCAACCTATGTCATTGTCATCCAATTACTGTTATTATCATACATTAATTAATCATCGCTAAAATTTATCCAAATAAGATGTAACTAGAGATTCTATACCGCTTGACAAAGCAAGAACAAATGTGAGCGTGTCTACATTCCTGCAAAATACATCACACAAACATCTGGAGACAAGACACAACGAGACCAACAAACTTGACCATCTCATTTGTGTTGAGTTTTTGATAGATAATAATTCAAGAAAACACCTTTACTTTTAAAGAAACTGCAGCTTCCCAAAACATTTTGGTAGTGAAAAGTGGGTTGGAAATTGTACAGGAAATAAGGTGCTCAAGAAAAGATTTACATGGGTATTTACCCGTGGGTTACAAGACCCAAGTTTTAATGTCAGGCTGGGGAGTTAAGAGAATAGGTTATGAGAAGCCAAACAGATCTAACATGTTAGAAGTCTCCCTATCTAAAAAGTTAAGACTGAGCTGAAAATTTCATGATATTCTGTTGGTGTTCGACATAAAGCTAGATGCAAAGCTTTTATGTCTAGACGATAAATTGTATATTCGAGGGAATTTGGTGGCCAATGGTTGGTTTCATCCAAGTATATTTCTCAAATTTTTTGCTAGAGCCATATCTTATAAAGAATTGGGTAAGTGAGAGAAACAAGGGTAGGCATAGGAGATGGTTCACCAAGGACTATGGTGAGAACTTGTTCTACATACAATGACATTCCATCCGTTCCTCCCGCTCTTATAAATACTGTTGATTACTTATGCCACAAATAGTTAGCTTCTTAGGGGGAGAACCAAAGCCATTTAGCCAATAAAGATGAATTCTTGAAGTTCAGACTTCCACTGCCTAAACCCTTCAAACTCTTATATAGGCAACAAGTTTCTTATCTAGCACATGATCCTTATTCTCCTCCCCTGCACATGTCTGCAAAAGCCTCCTCATATGACTCTCAATGCTCTCAACTACTCCAATATTAACCAATGGCTTTTTGCATTTTTGGAAGACCTACTAGCTCCCATGTATCATTTCTTTCAATAGCTTCAATTTTATCATCCATTGTCTTTTGTCATTTTGCATCTCTGACAGCACTTTCAAAAGTTGTTGGATTACTATATGAGAACGGAGCAAAATGAGTGAGAAGATCTTTACATTAATCAATTCCAATTACCTTATAATCTGACATTCATGCTAGCCTTCTTCAAACCCGATGAAAATGTGAATCATTTATTGTTTCAACTTATTCGTCCACTGCTGGTATAATTTCATAAAGGTTTTCATTTTTGGTATTTTCAGAGGTTACAACTGTTGAAACATGTCGCTCTCGAGGCTAATTCGCTTTTTCACCATCTCTCCACCAAAACTTGTTGGAATTTATTCTTCAATAGCATTTTTATTCCACGACCAGAACTAATTTTCATAAAAAACAATGTACCAACTTATTTAAATTTTCCTAGTGTTAGAATTATATATCTTAAAAGCTTTTGATTGATCACTAACACTAAGAAAAACACATTTCTTTTCTTTGTCATCTAGCTTTTTCCTCCCTTAATTAAGAATACCGGCATTATGCTTGTTAGATCGGATGAGTTACAGCTTCAAAGGAAGCTGAAATGATGAGCTAATTTAGAGAGAGAGTCGAGGAGAGAGAGAGGATAGCAAAAACAGGGTATAAAGCTACAAAAGCCTCTATTTTTCAGATTGTAGAAAGATGATGATTTTTGGAGAGGAAAAAGGATAATTTTCATTGATTTGCATGATTACATTTATAAGAACAGAGTTGTGCTTGATTACAACTACAAAACAAACGATAAGATTAAACTCAAAAATCCATGCATATACACTGCATGGCAGCTACGTAGGTTGCGGTGAAACATTTTCTTCACAACTTTATTTGAATTTGAATTTGAATAAGTAAATGGATAAAATCATTAAAATCAACACTCCTCCTTAATGATTTTATCACCAATTCCAATTTTTCTTCGCAAGTCCTCGAACTTAGCCTTAGACAATGACTTTGTAAAGATGTCTGCAAGCTACTTATATGTTGGGCAGTGTAGAAGGCTAATTTCTTGGTTTTTCGTAGCATCTCGAATGACATGGAACTTGACTTTGATATGCTTGGTCCGTCCATGCATGATTGAATTTTAGGTGATAGCAATTATAAACTTGTTGTCTACCCATATCACAGTTGGTCTGTGTAATGCATGCCCCAAGTCTGCCATTACTTGCCTCAACCAGATGGCCTGATTTAAAGTCGCAGCAGCTGCAGTGTATTCCGCTTCAGCTGTTGATTGTGAAACTACCTCCTGCTTCTTTGAAGCCCACGAGAAAGCTCCTGAGCCAAAAGAAAATACATAACTAGAAGTACTCTTTGCATCATCCATGCAGCCAGCCCAATCACTATCTGTATATCCTTGCAGCTCACCCACTCTGGCATGATACCATATTCCAAAATTACAAGTCCCCCGCAAGTACCTCAACACATGCTTAGCTGCTACCATATGCATCTGTTTGGGAGCTGTCATAAATCTTGACAAAAGGTTCACTGCTTATAGCATGTCTGGCCTTGACGCAGTGAGATAGAGAAGACTACCAACCAGACTTTGATAGGTACCCTCATCAACCTCACTTCCACCTTCATCCTTTTACAACTTTAGGTTAGGCGTTAATGGAGTCCCTACAGCTTTACACCTCTCTATTTTAAATTTACTCAGGATTTCCCGAGCGTATTTGGACTGACTTAGGAAGATCCCTCCCTTTGTTTGATTGATCTTTAGTCCAAGAAAATAAACAGCTCCCCCTAGACTTGACATCTCAAATTGATCTTCTAACTGCTTCTTGAATCCATCTATCTCTGCTTCATTGCTTCCTGTAACCAATATGTCATCCACATACACATACACAGTAGTGAATATCTTTAATTCTCCTTCAATTTTAGCATACAATGCAGCTTCAGTTTTGCTTCTCATGAAGCCACACTGTAGGAGATAATCATTCAATTTCTCATACCAGATTTGGGGTGCCTGCTTCAATCTACATAAAGCCTTATGCAAGACATACACGTGATTTTCTTTTCTTGCAACTATAAATCCCTTCGGCTGCTCCACAAATATTTTTTCCTTCAGATCACCATTTAAGAAGGCAACATTGACATCCAAGTACATTACTCACCATTGAAACTGAGCTGCAAGTGCCAAAATGAGACGTATGACTTCATGTCTTACTACTGGTGCGTACGTTTCAGCAAAATCAACACCAGGTACTTGCGCAAAACCCTTTATAACCAACCGAGCCTTATATTTGTTGATTTTACCTTCAGGATTTTGCTTTAGCCTGAATACCCACATCACTCTAATTGGTTTCTTGTTTGCAGCGTTTGGAACCAGGGTCTAGGTTCCATTGTTCTCAATTACACGCATTTCCTCTTCCATTACTTGAACCCACTGAATTTATTTTGTAGCTGCTTCAAA